CAAAGACTGACATCAGGAAGAACAGCAAATTCTGGCTAGGACTGAACATAAAAGGGAAAGAAGTTTACTTCTTTCTCTGTTTGCTGCTATCTCCTTGAGCTTGCCTCTCTCCCTCTGTCTCCACAGCGTTGTACACAGAAGAAATGGAAGTAGTTCACAGCAGTGCATCACTGGAACCAAATACTGTCCCAATCAAGTGCTGAAATACAAGGGAAAAGCAGAATCTGCTCCTACACTCTGTCTGCATCTCAAATTGCCTTTTGCAAGCTTGCTAGTAATAGCAGATGCACCTTGTGCTTCCTTGCCTAATCCCACACCAACAAGAAATTTTCCTCACCTTTTTTCTGGTAGTGCTTCTCTTTGAGAGCCTCAGGAACAGAGGAATGGTCAATTACCCTACAACATTAAACCCCTGTGTCTAGACCAAGCCCCTTCAAATTGGGAAGCCCCAGTAAAAATTCCAGGTAAAGAAAAAGAGAACATGGCAATATGATGTCAATGAAAAAAAGGTCCCCAATTAGTTTTTGAGTAACCTAAGAAGTCACCTTATTAATTTATGTGGTAGAGGTGACAGCTACTAAAAGTATGGATTAATCAAATCCCCAATCAGCTATTTCTGTTCAGCTTCCTTAAAGCACTGCTCCTTCAATGCATAGAATACAGACAGATAAAGCAGCAAATAAAAAACTGAGTGCTGAAACAACTCTCATGATTTAAATAAATTACAAACAAAGGACAAGGTCAGAAAATCCCAGTCTAAAACTAAGGCTTACTAGTCCATCATGGCTATGATGAAAATACAGAACAAACCTTCATAGTAGGTCTCCTCTCCATCAGCCCACAAATCCCATTTTTCTCCCTCAGTGAACTCTCCTGGCCTCTAGTCAGGTGAGGAAGTTTCTCCCTCTTTAGTCCTGGAGGACAGATAGGGCTGAGTATTCAGAGATCTCTGCTAGAAGATGTATGGATGTAGGAAACAATTTATTTCCACAAACTCCTCTAACACTTAATCCCTCACAAATTTCCCCACTTCTTTCTTCCTTAACTCTACTTAGCTGATGTTGACACTGAAAAGAGCAGAAACTTGGGGAGAGTAGTAAATAATTTGTCTCTGACTGAAGAATGGAAAAATAATTTTTTTTCAGATGCCACCAACAGAAGTTTTAACATGGATGCCAGGTCACTTATATTCTGCAGTTGACAGCTTCCTGTAAAAATGTTGCCTCAGGAATCAGTCTCTAAGACCCTTTTTACAGCTTTCAAAATTCCATAGTTCTGCAGCATGGGATTGAGTGGTAAATTATGTGTCTACATCTGAGCTCATCACCCTATGATCTCTCTATAAGCAATGGAGAGAAACAGGTGTTTCGAAAGTCTAATTCACCTTATTCTAAAGCACTTGTCTGGATCCTGAAAGATGGGGCTCAACTAATCACAAGGCTGGGGTTATTAACCTGGATCAGTCAAGCTTGGGTCAAAGTCCCTCTGCTCTTTTTGCAGGGAATTTTCAGAAGCTATGCTTCACTATATTCATCACTCCTCACTGCTAGAGCAGAAATTTTATGTTCCATTTTGCAGCCAACAATTTGAAAAATAGTTTAATGATCCACCTTCACCATACATTGGCAGAGATGGCCAATAACTGCTCTGGAGGACACAGAACACCTGAGAATGAAAGCCTTTGCCTTTTCCTGTTTCAGGTAATCCTAAAGTGGGCCAGCCATTGGAGAATTCTAAGCAGAACAGCCCACTGTATGTCAAAAACATCTGACAGAATGCGTGTAAGAGAATGCTGTCTCCCGCCTGAAAAAATTCATCTCACAGCCTGTCTTTGCTGACACAGATTTATCAAGCAAGCTTTCTATAACACACTGATCCACCACTCATGAGACACAAAACACAAATACAAATTTTCTGCATACCTAGGTAAGCCTTCACCATCTCTGTCTAACAATTTGGATTTCTTTTGACCACCAGAGCCTTGAGGACTGTAGAACTCCATCATCGAACTCAAATGTATTTAAAATACATGTAGTAACATCACTAATGTAATTATTTTTTTAGTTACAGCTAAGCAAAGCTATTCCTCTAATCAAATACATTTCAAAGTTTCTCTTTCTGGTCTTCAACTCTTTTTGGATGACGTGCTCCTCTTTCGACAATTTTCATTTGTATGAAGAGGAGAGAACTGTTACTTGATCTTTCTGGCCCTGACAAAAAGGTCAGGAAACAAGAATGACAATATCAATTTCTGGACCATTTTAGGCTCTAAACTAATCTGAAGATTCAATCCTGAAATCTTAATGAAAAATGCTTCACAGTTCATCATGAACTTCTTGACTCTTGGTTCAGTCATATGAACTATTTTTAATTTTTACTGCAATTTGATTTTGAGCTGGTAATGACTTGGTGAGTCAGGACTAAGAACAGAAGGTATCAAGGAAAGAACACTGAAGGCCACAGGAGTCAGCCAATCTCTGCATGCAAAAGCCTGCTTCTGTGGCAAGAAAGCACTCACATTCTGCATTAACGACCTTTTACTTTTTTTCCATTTCCAGATCCTTGCATCACATTTACTTCTTATTTCAATTTAAAGTCTTTGAGAAGGAAGCAAAACAAAATCAATGAAAAAAACCAAAGCAATATCCTGTTTTAATATAATTAAAGTACTATCTTTCCCAAGCACTATTTTTCTCCCTTGTCTATCATATCAGCCTGGGACAAAAAAAATATTACAAAGAAAAAGAACGAAAAACATCTCGTCATTTTTTCACAGGAAGAAAAAGAGATTATATAATGAAGACACAATGGAATTCTTCTCTTTTGCTGAAGTTTAGAACACAGGACAATATTTTACAATACAATAATAACTGCAACATTTTTCCTTCAATAGTTCATCTCATATTGTGATAGATAGGATTTTAGGGGAAAATTTTAGAGACTATCCCTTTTTACCATAAATGTGATACTACCTATACACTCCTTTATTTAGAAGATAATAAATGTGTTATTTACCTAATGCAAACTTAAAAAAAAAGGGTGTTTAATATTAAGCAGAAGTGTAGCTACAAGAATTTGTCTTGGTGCAATAATCACTGGCATATAAAGTTAACCTCAACATTAAACAAAAGTACAGATCTTTATATGTCAGAGGAAAGAAATGCAGTCCTTTTATAAAGCAGTGTAATAATCTGCTTCTGGAATGGAAGCAATATTGAAAAACTACACAGCATATTACAAGCCCTCTCTCATATTTTTAAAATAATAATACCGTTGCCTGCTGAGACATACCAAGCATTGAACTGATTTCAGTAAGAGCATTTATAGATATGGCATTGCCTTACTTAATAAATTTGTTTTAGATTACATTTGCTGCATTTAGTTTTTTCTAATTAGATTAGCATAATACTAATGTAACTGTGTAGTTAGCTTGCTACCTTTTGTTTGCTCTCAAATGATTTTATCAAGGTTATGGAAGAGCATTAGTAAATTATACATGGAGAGAGAAATTTCGTAACTGCTGATTAATTATCAAAAGCTAAACTTCTAGGAGAATTAAATGCACAGAACATGAATGTAACCTTTTAAAGTAGGTACTTTAAAAACCTCCACAGAAATAAACAAAAATACATATGATATTTCAGTTTAACCTTCTAAGAGGTGTTGGTAACTTTGGAAAAACAGCCTCTTACAAAACTGTAAGGGAACTCCATTTAGCATAGGTATTGCAGGACAGATGATAAAATTCTTACTTCATTGTGGATGTCCTCACTGGTTTCTTTTGCCACAATGTTCAGACTCCGGGTTTGGATACAAAAACATCACTTAGGAGGATTTTTTGCATTGGTTTTTTGTTTGTAAAATTCACTTTGAAGCCCCAAGGCCTTCCTAAAATAGCAGGGACCTCCTGAGTAATCACCTCAGGGAGAACACTTGTGTCCCTGGCATAGTGTGGAAATCCACTGGGGCTGAGGGCTCAAACAGCTCCCTGGGAAGGCCCCTCAGCCTGTGGCAATTGTTGGAGTGCAATGAGCAGAGCAGCCAGTTCCCCAGCTGGTGTGGAACCAGGGGGGCAGTAAGGGAAGGTGCTCACTTCTGGGCTTGCTCCCTGAGCTCTGACACCTGCAGTAATTTTCTAGATTTCAACGTGGAAGCTTTTAGGGAAGCTTTGCAGGCACATTCCCAGGATAGGAAGGAGAAAAGAAGCATATTTTGCAAGAAACTAGTTGGTGGAATTCCTGTCTGACTGATAGAATGTTTTTATGCTGCAAGGGTGATCTTGCAATATTCATTGTTAAGGTGCCTAGAGCCCTTGTATATGCATCCTTTTATTATTTAAATATTGAAATAAATAAATCAGCTCACTTAAGCAACCAGCAATCCAGTTTGTTAGAATTCTTTCATTAATTTTGATGGTGCTGAACCCCAGATCTGTTAAAATACTCCAGAAGAATAAGTTAGTCATAGTCTCTTGTAACTTCTGAATGTAAATACCTCAGCTGTAAGAAATCAAGAGTTATCTAGATTTCTTTCATTCACTGGGTTTTTAAATAACTAATGGGGTATTAAATGCTTCACCACAGAAGTCAGCACTTGGGCTTGGCTAAATAGTAATTCAAAATTACATGAATGTGTATGTCAGTACACTCAGCTCCCACCCCAAAGGAGATATTTCACAAAGGCTCAGAAAAAAAAAGAAGGGAAAATAAAAAAACAGCAGCACAATATAATTACTGACACATTCTTAACAATAATGTTACAAATCTGCTCTAATTGGTAAATATACAAATTAGTAAAACCAAGGAGATAAATGCTTTGATATATTTAACATCAGGAGAAATGAAACATCATTATTTAATATCAACTTCAATTTTTAAATGCCAAGTTCCACTAAAAAGGGTAGGGCCTAGGGAACTTTAAATTTAAATTACTATGACGACTAGAAACAAAGGAAACAATAAACTTATGGATGTTAAAATGCCTCGAAAAAGCCAACTTACGCTGCGGCTTCTTGTGCTGACACCCCTTTGATATTCTTCGCCAAATAATCATCTATGGCATCTTTGTCTTTGATCAAATGAATCCTAAATTTAAATGAAAAAAATTAAAAGAAGCACTGTAAGGTGTTAACATAGACTTCTGCAGCATGTATAATGTATTATCATCGCCAAGTTGAGCTAAACACTGAAATATTGACAAAGTAATATATCAGACATTCTATAAGCACATACAAGTATCTTTTTAATTTTTTGGTCTGTAGTTAGTTCAAATCTTCATTTCTGAAAGAAAACAGAGGTGATACAAGCTTTCAGGAGATCTGGTTATCTGATATTTCTGTATAAACTAAAAGAAATTGTGTATTAGCTAAATCAGTAATAATTGATTAAGCTATCCATATTTAAACTGTTTCCTAAATCAGAACTGTTACATTTTTGTATTATGAGTATGGACCAGAGTGGTACAATGTATTTCATATTTAGCTTCTCCAAAATTAAAAACAAAGGCAAATCAGGAAAAGAATTCCCAAATCCAACTCAAAATGTTTTCCTTGGTGCAATGCAATCTTTTAATACTGTCCCTGGCTTTCCACAGTTTGAGTAGCTTAGTGCAAAAGGTTCTCCACTGAGGGGATAATTTGAATGTCATCAAAATAAAGAGCAAAGTTCAGGATGCATGGATGTAGGTTTAAAATGTGAACTGTGCAGCATTTCACCTTTCACTTCAGCCACCATATCTTTGCATCTCCCCTCTGATACACGAGATGCCTGGAAAGGGTAATATGCACTCACTGGCCATAAGGTGTACATAAACAGCATCTGATATCCCAACTGCAGAGGATGTTATCTTTATAAAAGTAATGTGAATTTATTTTTATCCTTCTGAGAAAGAGCACAAAGATTGTCTGGTTAATCACTCAAAGATAAAAGAAATTCAGCATTAGTGTTCCACATAAATCCATTACTTTGCTCTTTCTCTGTCTGTATTACACTGCTGTCTTTCATTACAGTGATGAGAGTAAACTCTTTTCATAATGTTAGCTATTATAAGCATCACACTCCTTATTGCTCTGAGAATACTGAAGACACTTCACAAAGTTCATTTAAATGAAAACAAAATAGCTAAGCAAGGCAGAGATATTTTGACATATCTGTATTTAAAACAATGTAACAGTGAAAACTTCCCTCATAAATAGTGCCTTTAAATTTGTTCCAGAATTTGCTGCTGCTGAGTGGCACCACCAGAGGCTTGTGCTTCGAGGCTGCACTTAACACAATCCACAGGAGCTGCTGCTGATGTACACCTTAATGATACTGCTGTGAAAATTCACTTTTAATCAATACCAAAATGTTTTCAATATCAAAATTTTCAGAATGATAAAAATTTAGGAAGATCTTTGAAAGAAGGGAAAGTCAAAACCCCCAAACAGAAACAGTGAACTACAGCAGGCAAATTCCTATCAGCCTACTGCAATTCAATCCACATTGCAGTTAAAAAGCATCTCAAAAAGAAACAAAGGAAAGCCTGATGCCTTTCCATTGTCTTTACAAAGGTACCTTAATAAATAAATATCAAAAAATCAGAGGGAAAGCCCTTAGAATCATATACAATTTAAAATGTCACCTGCCTTATAGCCAAAGTATGAATTTCTGACTTCTGACTGGCAACACCCTCAAACTTAAAGAAAACTACAGCAAGGGAAAAAAAAACCCATAAGCAAAACCTTGCAAACTAATTGCTGTATTGCAGAAGTTCTGTAATAACCTGTATTGGACTGATGCAACTACAAACATGGTCATCCATTATAAAGAGCTGAGCTTACTAAAAATAACAAATACTAAAAATAACAAATACTTACTAAAAATACAAATACATAATCACACTCAGGCTGTTATTATGGATGATGCTAGTGTAGCAATAACACAGAAAACATGGGCAGGTGAAACTTAGTTAAAAATACTAGGAAATTCCATCAGCTCAAGAAAATCATTATGGCTTCCTATATGCAATGAAAATTAAAAACATTAAAATGAATTAATTAATCAATGTGAAGAAAAGAGATTGTGACTTGGAATGGACATTGTTTCTTTTTACAGAATTGAGATGAGGATGGCATTTGCTAAAAGACACAATTTCTTTTCTTCCAGAGGTTGTCACTTGCCTTTTTCAAGCTACTTTATCCTTATTTCTCTGGTGTTTCCATAATGACTCACAGTACCTCAAAGTGTACAAAAAGAGTCTGCTTCACCTATAAGCTGGCTCCTATTTAATTTTAAATCACTCAGTTGTTAACAAGAAATCCTTTTTAATCCAATGGAAATCTTTTTTTTTTCTCTCTCTTTTAATTTTGGAACTTTCCTAAGAGAGAATTTCCTTTCCTATGATTTTTGTAGTTTTAATATTGCATATTTTTAATATGATTTGTCACTGGGGCACAGCTGATTGAAGCTGTTCACAGAAGAAATGATGCTTTGAAAGAGAAGTGGTACCTACCTTGCAGACTCTAATGGGGGGCAAAGAGGCTCCTCTATGAACTTGGGATGCTCTCCTGGGCTTTGGAGGACTGCTTGAGGCAACACCTTCATTTGCACTAAAACAAACAAACAAAACCAACATTACTTGAAACAACCCCTTCACAGCAATGTGGTTTATTTTCCTTCTTTTGCTGCTTCCCAGGCCACTCTCTGGTATTTCCAGTGAATTAAAACCCAACTCCAGTTCCACACAAATCTCAGCATTACTTCCGTAGGACATAGCACAAAGGACTGGTCATTATTTAACTTTCCATGGATTTCTCTCTTTCACTGAGGTGCTTTTGATTTCCATAGGGATAGCTGATTCAGGAACCAATACCTGCATGGGATTCCCCTGAGCTATCTCATTACTTCCTATCTAGGTCCAAGTAGTGATAATATTTTAACTTAATACACAATGTGGACAGGTGATGAAATATACAGGGTGCAAAGCAACGACAGGCACTGTGTTAATGTTCAAAATCCTACATAATCATACTAGAAAAAAAGCTTTTGAAGGAAAAAAAGGTAAGTAATGCTATACTTACAACACGGGTTTTACTTACAACAAAAGCCAAAAGCCTCACAGTTATTTAGAAACGGCTGGCTTGTCATCTTGAAGTACATAAATGCTAATAGGACTTTTTTGTCATATAGAGCTACTGTGTTTTTTCCCCAAGTATTCAGTCTACACTTCCTACCATTAAAGTTTCAGCTGCCAGTTCCTTCATTTTGCATGTCTGTGATCTGAGGACGTTAGCAGCAGGAGCACCCTTACTTTTAAATTTGGTTTAATGTAGGTATTGCATGCCCTGCTGGTAGGCCTGAAGGCATAAACTTTTAATAGGGATGGAAAAACAGAATATAATAAGAGGGGGAAAAGAATTTAACTATTTGCTACATTTTACAAGAAACTTGCTACATTTAGTAGGAAATTTATTTTTTTGGAAAGAGGTATTAGATACAACTCAATGTGTTACAGAATGATCAGCATCAGATTAGCAAATATTTTATATATTAGCCTTTCTGGGATCAAAAGCCATTTCATTGATGCAGTATTTTGCTGTGGTTATATTGAAGTAATTTTTTTAATTGTGTTACTGAGAACTGAATAATAAGGAGAATCATATTTTGAAAGGATGACAGGATAGGATTTTTCTTCTAAGTCATTCTTTTGGGGCCTTGTACTAATGATATTTTCTACAGAAAGAAAATAGGTATTATGTATAGATAAACTGGTCTGCAATTAGAGGCAGCAAAATTTAACAGAAGTGTGTCCTAGAAAAGAAAAAAATCAATTGAACAAAAAACATATGGGTAATTCATCACTATAAAAGATTACACTTCTCACAGAGAATGACAGGTTTGTATACAAAAACTATATAGGAAGGAAAACCCCTTTTTAGGAAGATGCTATTCAGTGAGAAATAGTAATTGGTCTTTGGAACAACAATATTGAAGCCCAGAGAAGATGCAAAGCTTTCTACAAGCTTTGTTGTGAGGTATTAGGTGGGAAAATGAACACAGCCATGCCTTAGTGGAGGCTGAGGAATGGCAAGCCAGAGGGGCTGACTGCAGCTACGGGGCAGAAAAGGGGGGGGAAGCAGCTGCAAGGAAACCCCCATAGAGCCACTGCAGCCATGGAAAGCTATGGATAGGGAGCTGTGATTTGGGGACTGCCACAAAGCACCTGGCTGGAGCACACAATGAGTCCCTGCTGGCTCACATGCTCCATGTTCCCAATTCACAGAAAAGAGGCTATCAGGCACACAGGTGTCATATGAGGCACATATGCAGACATTTTCCTTAGCATGTTTTTGCCTCAAAAGGACTAAAATACTGCCGTGGCTCCTATTTCAAACTCAAAGCTTGGGAGAGGAAAAAAAAAAACCCCAAGCTGCTTCATAACAATGCCAACTTTTACTTTGAACTTTTACTTTAGATGTGGGAGATTGCTTTCAGAGTGAAATGGAGGGTGTATTTCTCTTATTTCTCTCATTTCCAAGGTAACTGATTCTTACAGGTAAATTACAACCACAGACACACGACAAAATGCATCACATCCTTCTGAAACTCATGTTATTTCAGTCTTGTAAATTTCATTGCTGGTCATTTAAAGACCACTTTACATCTTGCTCCTTTATGATAAAGTCCAAGCCATGTCTCATTTACTTCATCAAACACCCACAGAATTCAGTGAAACATGAGGTAGTGCCGTTTATTTCTAAAGAAGTGCTTCACTTAATCCCGCAATGGAGGGAATCTCCCCATGGATGTAATTGCTCTCAGGTGCACTGAAACCAAAGTAAAACACCAGCTGAGAGCAATGGTGCCTTTCCCAGCACCTTTTGGGAAACCCCTTTGCTCTTCCTACACATTTTCTGAGGTATTAACTGGAGGCTGAGGATTTCCCTCCCTGGGAAGGAGGAGAGGAAGCAGGCATGGATACACCACACCTTTGTGGGCACATCTGCTGCTACTTGGCACCTCGCAAGATAAAGGGACATCAGAAAGTGACAGGACAGACTTACTGGCACGCAGCTTTACTACACTGGAAGTAATAGTGTAAATTGATTAAAAAAATAAAAACGAGCAACACATTTTTGAAATCTACAGCCAGCGTGATAGATGCTATTTGTTCCAAGTGACCTGGACGCGGTCACGGCCTCAGCCCGACCCGTATCCTCAATGCCCTCCGTCCCTGCGGCGCTGGGAATCCAGCCGCCATCCGCCGCTGCCACCAACCACTGCCCAGGGACACCTCAGCGTGTGCCTGCTACACACCCCGGCCCTTGGCTCCGGTACCGATAAAATGTACCCCCATGGCCGGAGCTCCCGGCGCACAGACCTGGGCTCATGGTGCGGCCGCACGACGAGCTCTCTCTGCCGGCCCGGCCCGGCCCTTCACGGGACGCCGCGGCCTCGCCATGGCGACGGGGCCGGGCGGCGCTGGGGCCGGGGCCGGGGCGGGGCGGCGTTGAGGGCCGGGCTCCCGGAGCTCTCACGGACCATCCCACCCCTTCCCGGGGGCTCGGCAGGCGCTGAAGTCGGGTTAGACCCTGGGAAGCGCGGGGGCTGTGAGGAATCGGCTCGGCCCGAGGAGTTGGTGCGCTTCCCAGGAGCTCACGTGGGCTCCGAACGAGCTGCCTCAAACGGGAGCGTCCCTGAAAGCTGAGAGACTTCCTACAGCTGGCAAGCAAAGAGCCAGGATCGTGCGGACATCTAGGGAAGTGTGGGCAGGCTCTTAGATGCTCAAGGGTCACCTGCAGCGAGCAGGTTTTCTTCTTTCACAGAATCACAGAATGGTTAGGGTTGGAAGGGACCACAGTGGGTTATTCATCTGGTCCAAACTCCCTGCTTTAGCAGGGCTGCCCCAGGGCATTTGGATTGTGCCCAGATCGTCCATGAATATCTCAGTGAGGGAGGCCACAATCTCTCTGGACTATCAGTTCCAGTTGGACTATCAGTTCCAGTGTGTGGTCACTGCACAGTAAAGAAATTCTTCCTCATATTCAGGTGGAACTTCCTGTGCATCAGTTTCTGCTGTTGCTTCTTGTCCAATTGCTCATCAGAGCACCAAGCAGAGCCTGGTCCATCCTCTTGGCATCCCTCCCACAGATACTGACAGTCCTTCATGAGGTTTCCCCCCAGTCATCTCAACTCAGGCTCAGCTCCCTCAGCCTTTACCTGTAAGACCAATGCTCCAGTCCCTGAATCATCTCCGTTGCCCTCCATCCTTTCAGGACCTCTGAACTTTCCTGAAGTCCTTCAGGACTTCTCAGTAAGGGAAAGAGCAAGTAGAAAAAAACATTAGACTGAATCTCTGAGTATGTGACAACATGAAGGCATTTGGTTTGTGGAAAATGTCCTCACTCTGAGGACATTTGATGAGGGTTTGCTGCTTAATTTAAATTTAATGTTAAAGATACACATACTGTCACAAAGGAGCTGTTCTAAGGGACTGGCCTGCTTGGCTGTCTGGGGGCTGGTCAGAAATGGAAATATTGAGAAGGAATCAATGAGCTTTTGCAAAGTGCAAATGAAAACTGTAAGAGAAACCCAATTGAGATGTTACAGAATATAAAGAGCAGAGATTTTTCAGTGACTTCTCTTTTCGTGTTGGAAACTTGACAGTGGCAGGAGATCATTTTTTTTAGTACAGATTTGACCTAGTTTTTATTGCTACAACTGTTTGGAAAACAGGAATGTCAGAATCAATTGCCATAATCTATTTTGGAAGGATCAAGTGGACAGAAAGCACTTTAAAAACGTCATTACCTGTTTCTGAGTTGATGGCAATCGAAAACAAAGGATCTTGCATGTTTATGGGTCAATGTTCTAGTGGATAAGTCAGAAGCTGACAGGGTACTTAGCTGATATCAAATCACACTAGAGAACAGCCTGACCCATGCCTTACCCACCTACAACACATAGGAAAAGCACTGCTGGACTGAGTGAATTTCAGGCTGAGTGACATGTGCTGAAGGTCTCATGCTGCCAGTGTTAAAATGTACTTGGAATTTCAAAATATTTAAAATGTCAATTTCCTAACTCAAAAAATGTTGCATCCAACACAGAGGAATTTTATATTAGACCTCATCTTGTCAGATGAAAAGGAATTGATCACAGAACTAAAAATTAGCCATAGCTTAGGTATAACTGATAATGATTTGATCACATTTGATATGTGCAAACAGAATTAAGTCCAAGCCAATAATACATATACCTAATCCTTTGGAAGTGCTAATTTTATAAAGGTGAATATTATTATAAGGTAAGTCTGTTGGGAGAAGAAATTTAATCTGAAGTGGGAGAATAATAATTGGAAGTGGTTTAAGGGTGGTAGTGCAGATACCCACTCAGCCAGAATGCCACAACTAAGGAATACGTTTGCTGAAAAGCCAGGGTGGTTTACAAGGCAAACATCTGCAAAACTGGAGAAAGAATGTGGTGTCATTCATGTACACTTACAGGTAGGAATTGTAGAAAATTGCTGTGGCAAGTAAAAGGTTATCAGGGAAATACACATATGGCCAACTGAGTTAAAATGAGGAAATTAGAGGGGATTTGCAAGTATAGAATACAGAAAATTATCTGAATAGAAGACCCTATTAAGACCTGAAGATGAGAGGTTAAACCTTAATCAGTGACAAACTTCAAATGTTAAAGATACACATACTTGTTCTGTCCTTTGGGAAGATGGCAGCTGACCTAAATAAGTTGTTAAATATGTTGAAGAGTTGTTTTCTATTCACAGATGAGGGAGAATGGTTCAGTTACTGAAAGAAAGAGCTTTTGGAATGAACATATCTATCAATGTTCATATTCAGAAGTTCTTGAAACACTAAGACTTTTTTAAGGAAGGTGAAGCTAGTATTGTTCTAATAGCTTAAAAGAATAAATGGCATGATAATCGTTTTCCAGTGTGACATTGATCAGGCAAAATACAGATTAGACAATATTGTTAACTCAGTTAACAAATAATGTCAAAGAAAAAAGACATTTCCAATTACTGTGGGCTCCTGCTAAAAAATCTTTATATCCTGGCAGAAAAATAGAGCCTGGCAATCAGACTTTGCTGTCTTAATGAGGCTGCAGGTTTTGCTTATTGATGTAATTTAATTCGATTTCAGGAAAGCATTTGACTTATTATCATTTTGGCTTTTTGGATTAAACACTTCAACAACACAATTATTTGTATCCTGTACACAAGCTTACAAAGAAAACTTGTAAAAACAGAAAAGATAAACCAGAAGATTTAAAATTACTCTTAATATTCTGGAATGATATCTGGAGTACTTCACAAGCAGACATTTACGCCATGGCTACATCTCCTGTGTGAAACATATATAATTCATTTTACTTGGAAGCAAAGTAAGAATATTTTTATGGAGATGTGTTCAAAGGATCCTACATGCCAAACAATATGTAAGTTAGAGAGAACACTCTTTAGCAGAGAATCAAAGGCAGTCTACATTTCTATAGTAATATGAAGAGGCAGTGGCCTTTCTGTGGTTAAGGATGAAACCAACTCCTATTACAATGCTGTGTTCTAGCACCAATTTAATTTGCCTAGATGTGTTTGGCCTGCAAGTCCTGAAGAGAAAGGATGTCAGTCCACAGAAAAAAAATTCAGTCGCTAGCACTTTTTTGTTCCTATCATTAGAGTGGGTTTTCTCCCAGTTCTGTAAGTAATGATAATTTCCAAGGAATGACAATATTTTATAGCAGATGCTCTTTGCAAAAACTATGTGAAGAATTAATTTGTTTGACAAAAAATTCATTTCAGACATTGGCATATTCAAAAATGCAACCTAGCGAGGCAAAAAGTGCAGTGTACGGATCACTATGAGTAGCTGCTACCCTTAGGAAATATGGTCACATGGAAAACAAATTGCTGTGCTTAAATGTGGCAATATCCAAAACTTACCAGGACATATCTGGATACTACTGAATACTTGAATACTGCTGATTTAAAAAAAAAGTGTTTTGATTCCTGCCTACCTATTCATCTTTGGTCCATGGTAGTTCTGATTTTCCTGTTACTTATCCACCTGTCCACTACCCAAAAATGCCTGAAGCGTCCCCAGTCCTTCACTTTAGAAGGGAGGGAAGAGGGAGAGGCTTGGTGAACACTAAAGTATCATGGCGAAAAGTACGAAGGAAAAAAAAGGAGGAAAGGCCAAACTGTTAAAAATACAAAATCAGGGAACTGGAGGGGGACAACACTGAGTGTGCTACCAGATAGCAATCAGCATACATAGATTTTCTTGGCATTTTCCTGAGAGCACCTAATAAACTTAGTCATGAATGTTGAAATTCCAAATAATACAGCTTTGCAAAATTCATACTCCTAAGTCTTTATATCATGCTGTTGTCTTATGTATCAAGAGTTCTATTATCATTACAGTGCAAGGATTCCATATCACCAGAGTTTGGTACCTCCTCAATGTTTCTCACAGGCAGCTCCTCTAAGCACTGACTGTTCCTGGTCCTTGCAGCAGCCATCTGACTGCAGATCCCACCAATCCACTCTTTTATAACGCTGTTCTTATTGGCTACAGGTGTGGCCTGTTAACATCAGGCCTGCTCCTGATCTTTAGTGATTGGTTCAGCTGCAACTCTTTGGGGGATAAGATTACATTCTGTACCACCTTCACTTACCCATACTGTATCCCCCTACAATTCTACATGCATTACAGACAAAAGTGGCCCAGCATGCACTTTATATGTTATAATAAAGTAAAATCTATGCCATCGATATCTCCTCCTGGTTCTCTTTACTTATTTCAGGTATTTTTATAGGTCTGCATCAGATGGATTTTCACCTACTGAAACATTTGTTACAATGTCAACTGACTTGTTTGGCCTTCTTTTGAAAGCTGTCTAGAAAGATTTATATAAAAAGTTAATCAAACTACATCACTGACTCAGCTCATCAGAACAACTTTTTCATCACCATAACAATATCTTTGTGACATCTAGCTTATCATCATGAATTATGGGGGAAAGGATAAACAACCCATTAAGAAATTAAAGGCCCACAAAGGTGCAGTTTGATAAAGGATAAAAAAAACCCACGGGGTATGTATAATAAAATCTCTCTCCCCTGAAGAGTGATTGTTATCTTTCTTTCATGAGCGTCAAAGACCTGGAGCTTCTCAGTGCCTCAGGCAAGTGAGTTTGAAGGTCTCCTTCATGATTGAATAGAAAATTGTAATCAGAATTAGGTTATGGCTGTTTATCCTATAGAGTATTTAAAAAAATGTTTTATGTGTAGGACTGATATTAGTAACTAAGAGGAAAAAGCCACTGTAATCACATTTAGAAAACTCCACTGTATTTTCAGTATTCAGTC